GTACTTTGAGCGACCGTAGCGCCGCAACCAGTAAGACAACTGATAAGGGATCCAGCAAAGAATATGCTCAGAAATAGGTAAAGAACAAGGTACACTACCTATCCCTACTCACCTTTTGCTTCACCACCCCTTGTAACCCTAACCCTTGTAACCCTACCCTAACCCTAACCCTAACCCAAACTTCACATACATGCCCTACAGAGCGCTCCAAACAACTTTCATTAAGGCACAAAGAAGATCCGGGGTGGTCAAAATCCGGACCTGGTAAGGGTCCCCCCTTTGCTCTGGGGCTGAAAATGCAAATTCTACTTTTTCTCCGCAACCAACGGATGGATCTTTCCCATCTTCTAGGGGCCTTCCACACTCATAAAAGTACACAACTTTCAATAAGGGTGTCGCGCGGCTTCGGCTCCGAGCCTGCCGCGCGCGTCCTTTTTCCCTGCGCGCCGTGCCTTCCTTTTCCTCCTTTCGAACCATCAGCATCTCCTCACTCACTTTCACCGCCGTGCCGCACCGCCAGCACATGGTGACAAGAGTGTAGAGCTCCTCTTCTTCCTTCCCACTCACACGAGCTCCGCGACACACACGCCCACCCGTCCATCGACCCTCGCCATGCCCCCCAAAGGCAAAGACAAAGCCGAGGAGGGCGACGGAGGTGCGACCGCCGCGACCAGCGCCGCCCCGTCCACCGAGACTCCCTCTCTCAACCCCACCCTTTTCGACCCCCAGGGCGTCCAGACTCGCTCCGCCACCGCTGAGACCGCTCGCCCAATCACCATGTCCGACCTCATCGACCTGATGTCCATGTACAAGGTCCAGCTCAAGGACACCATCCAGCCGCTCGCCGACCGCATTCAGTCGCTCGAGGTCGCCTCCGCCTCCTCCTCCTCCAAGCCCCACGATGAGGACGAACGTCGACGCGCCGCCGAACTCGAGATGGCAGAGGAACGTCGAAGGTACGACGAGCGGATGCGCGCTATCAAGTCGAAGCACCGTCTCGCTGAGGAGAGCATCGACGTCACCGGAGCCCCGGCCGCCACGGCCACGTCGACGATCCCCTCTCTCCAGCCGACCTCACTCGACTTCGCACACGATACGTCCCAGCTCCTTCGTCAGACCATCCGTCCAGGCTCAGAGCAGCCGGTCGCCTTCACTCGCGATCCCCCTCCCCATCTCCGCCCGGTCAGCCGTCGCACTCCGGCTCCGCGCTACACTAGCCGTCAACCGGGCGTCCCGCACGACTCAGCCGCGGCAGCCGGCTACCCGACATACGACGACGACGGCAGCGAGGACGAAGGACTGGACGTACCGCCCACCCTTCAGCCGACCACGCGGGGCGCAACCGCTACGCGCATACAGCCGACGTTCGCTCCCGCCCCGGCAACGAGCCTCGACGCCTCCGCGAGCGCGAGCGCACCGCGTCGTTTCAACCTCAAGGCGGAACAGATCGGCACGTTTGATGGCTCGAACGCCGACTACTTCACAAGTCGCATCGACAGCCTCCTCGCGCACCACTCGCTCGACGCCGCCTTCGAGTTGTCGGTCCTCGAAATGCTCCCCCTGTGCTTCAAAGGATCGGCCGCCAAGTGGTTCCAATACATGCCGTCGTCACAACGCGCGAGTCTCGGTCAGGGCTGGACTCAGTGGCGAGCGGCCATCAACAGGACCTTCAAGGAGGACTACACCACAGCCAGGAACAAGGCCAAGGAGCGCACCTGGGACTGGCCCAACGAGGACGCGGCGACGTTCTACTTCGACAAGACCGCACTTCTCTACGCCGCCAATCCGGACTGGCGCGATCGCGAGATCGTCTTGGAGCTCATGGACTGTCTCCCCGCCTCACTCCAGTGCCTCCTACGCCTCAAAATCGGTCCAATCTCGACGCCCGAGGACTTCCTGAATGAGCTGAGAGCCCAAGAGACCCCGTGGAAGGAGTCGGAGATCGAGCGCACCGCCTCGTCAGTCCCAACCAGACGACGCCAGCAAGCCTCCCCGCCCACGCCATCGACTTCGTCGCTCTCGTCATTCAGCACCTTCTCGACACCCTCCAAGAAACCGCCGTCCCCGGCGGCCTCCCTCAGCGACGCGAGCCCGACCTCTGCGGCCGCCGCCAAGCAGTCCGTGACGAGCGACTACCGCCCGGAGAACGCGTACTACAAGACGGTCAACGGCCAGCGCGTGCGCCATTACAAGCTGCCGGCCAGCGGCCGCGAGATCGCGCTCAAGTGGGCCTGCCGGACGTGCGGAGGCGATCACTTTGACTTCGAACACTGGCACGTCACGAAACCCACACAGGCCCAACGCGCAGCGGCCGAGGTCAAAGCAATGCAGGCGTACGGCTTCGCCATGCTCGAGGTCGAAGAGCCGGAAGCCCTCACGACCGGAGAGGTCGACGAGGAGAGCACGCCAGAGATGGAGGGGGGCGAGCAGACCGCGACGTCTCAAAACTACTAGAGCATGAGGGCCACAGCCCCGCCCACTCCGCGAGCGGCATCACAGACACTCATACACGCAGCGTCGAGCCGCCGCCGTCCCAGGTCCCGATAGAGTTCCCGATCCTGTCCCCTCAACCAGAGCATCGCGCCGCCACGGATCCACCAGCAACGCCTCCGACGACACAGCCAAACAAGCTCGGAAAGTCCATCGCACCTCCACGTTCCAAGTCCCCGCTCCTCGCGCACAGAAAGTGCGATCTTCCTCCCGAACTCATCAACCGCAACGGCTCATACAAGCCAGCTCTGGTCCGACGTCTCTCTGGATCATCCCGGCCTCTACGCGCGATGCCAACTGTCTTCCGTATGGAACCGCACGTTGCAAGCCTAAGGCTGGCCGACAAGCGACGTCCGGCGCTCGACGGCAGACTGCCCGTCATCGAGATCGAGCCCGCGCTGGACACGGGCACGGGACAGGCGCACCAACGACACCAACCAGCCGCGACCTACATCGTACTGCCCGGACAGGAGGCGCGCCTCTCGCTGGTCGACACCGGCGCGAACCTGTCCGTCATCGACGAAACGCTCGCACACAGCATGCATCTGGCGCCATTCAACGGCCCTACCCTACGCATCGACGGAGTCGGCTCGAGCTACACCTCCGGCTGGGTCACGCTGCGTTTCCACATCCCAGCCACCCGCGACGGAGCGCCAGTCCTACTCGCGACCGAGGCCGATTTCCACGTCATGAAGGACTTCGGTCCGAAAGTCTGCATCGGGGTCGACACGATCGCAGCTATAGAGCCAGTGTTCGATGTGGCCACAGGCACCGCCACTGCCCAGGGCGCGACCTTCCCCATCTTCGACACGAAAGGCAAGCCGCTGACGGCCAAGCGAGCGAGCCGGGCCCTCACGGCCAAGAGCAACACAACCATTCCTCCGCGCTGTCACGCGTGGGTTCCGTTCGATGCACACCTGCTGCCCGGTGTCGACTACGCGGTGCAGAGTTGTCTTTGGACCGACAAGACCGAGTCGCTACACCTAGCCATGCCGTCCGCAGTCATCGACGACTCCACCGCCGCCGTCCTTCTCACCAACTTCGGCGACAGCCCAGCAACGATCAGAAGCAACACTCGCTTAGGCCAGGCCCTACCGCTCCTGTCGACCGGTCGGGAGGTCACAGCGGGCGCCTTCGCGATGCAGCCAGCGCCCACGAAGCCCACCGCCGAAGCGCGCACCGCGACATCCGCAGCTACAGCCAACGACCGCGATGAGTTCGACTCTGCCGGTTCGACGAAGGGCCACGGAACGACCGCACCGGCCATCACCGCCGACGCCGAGCCGCCCGATCGAACAGCTGAGCGCGAACCGTCAGAAGCCGAGGTCCTCACCGACCCAGACATCGCGCCACACCCGATCGACTTCGGCGACGACCCTCTGGCCCGTCTCTCGCCGGACCCCGGTGCGACGACGAAGGTCGACAACATCTTCAACGTTGGCCTTGGGGCAAACGGCGAGCCTCACCCCGCTATCGTCGACCTACTCCGGCGCCACACCGCCGCCTTCTCGCTCGATGGCACGCCGGGCCACGTCACCGCCGACGGATCAGCGATGCCCATTCCGCTGATAGATGGCAAGGAGATCCTCCCGGAGGCGCCGCGGCGGTACTCCCCGGAAAAGCGACAGGTCATGGACGCTCAGATACAACAGCTCAAAGACTGGGACTGCATCGAGCCGTCATCATCGCCGGTGTCCTTCCCGGTCCTACTCGTCAAACAGGGCGAAAAGTGGCGTTTCTGCGTCGATTACCGCGGCCTCAACAAAGTCAGCCGCGACGATCGCTACCCGCTCCCTCGCATCGACGACATCTTCGAGGCGCTCGCCGGCCATCACTGGTTTTCCGGTCTGGACGCAATCCGCGGATATCACCAACTCGACATCGAGGAGGCCGACAGATGGAAGACCGCATTCATCTGCCCTTCGGGCCTCTACCAGTACAAGCGCGTCCCGTTCGGCCTGAAGGGCGCGCCGGCGTGGTTCCAGCGTTTCATGGATCGAGTCCTCGGTCGCCTGCGATGGCTCCATGCCGTTGTCTACTTGGACGACGTTGTCGTGTTCTCCAAGACGCTCGAAGAACACGTCGACGCGCTCGACACTCTCCTGACCGCCGCGACCAAAGTCGGACTCCGCTTCTCCCCGTCGAAGTGCCATTTCGGTCTACGCTCCCTCGCCCTACTCGGCCGCCAACTCTCCGGTGCCGGGATCTCCGTACAGCAACGGAAGGTGCAGGCCGTGCAGGACATCGCCGCGCCCAGGACTCTGCAGGAACTCTACCACGTCCTGGGGCTGTTCAACTACTACCGAGACTTCATCCCTCGGTACGCGGAGCGAGCCCTTCCCCTGTCACGCCTGCTCCGAGGCCATCGATATCGACGAGTTGACGAGAAGGACAAAAAGTGGTCGCTCGTCGATGCGAACGGCGAACGCACGACTGCGTCCAAGGTCAAGCTGCAATGGGGACCCACCGAGCAAGCCAGCCTCGACGACCTCAAAGCCAGCCTCAGCTCACCACCGACGCTCGCCTTTCCCGACTACCAGCGGCCATTCATCCTGTACACCGACGCATCGCAGGACGCTTTCGCCGCGGCTCTCCACCAAGACTTCCCCGAGATCGCGGTCGCTTTCCCTGCCAGACCGGCGCTCGAGCAACCTGCCCTCCTGTCGCTCGAGGAGATTCGCGAGGCACAACAGAACGACCCGACGATCGCCGCCATCCGCGACAGCCTACTGCACAACGGCGACGACTCGTCCGAGGAAGACGGCGACGAACACGCGGAGGCCGAGACCGCCTCAAATAGCGACGACGAGACGGAGTCCGAGACCGATCCTGACGAGCAGCCGCAAGGTCCGGAGACCGCCGAGGAGGCTGCCGCCGATGCCGCCACGGCCGAAAGGGCGCCGCAAGGGGAATACTCCAACCGGGACCGCTTCGGGTTCAGTCTCCAAGACGGCCTCGTCGTCTACGTGGGCCCGCACCGCTTACAGCGAAGGATCTACTTGCCCAAGGCGTTGCTCGGCAAGGCCTTCGCCGCGGCGCATGATCGAGCACACTTCGGCCTGGCCAAGACCATTCCGCTTCTGGAGGGCCTCTACCACCCCAAGCTCGTCAGCCTTCTACGCGCGTACATCGATAACTGCCCACCCTGCTTGCGCACCAAGACGAGGCCCCGAACCGGCTGCCTGTCGTTGGACCGCGCCGAAGCGGCCTGCACGCGCCCGTTCCACTCCGTGTCAATGGACATCGTCCTCGGTCTACCCGTCTCACACGGCCTCGACGCGATACTCGTGGTGGTCGACCTGTTCACCAAGACGCTTCTGACTTCGGCCTGCTCCTCGTCCATCACCGCCGAAGGCGTCTACGAGCTCTTCTCGCGCTTAGTCCTACGGCGGGGTTGGAAGCCAAAAGTCATCATCACCGACTCGGACAAGCGCTTCATCGGCGAGCACGGCCAACAGTTCGCGCGCAGCATCGGCGCAACCCTCACGCCCTCGGCGCCGCACCACCAGCAGGCCAACCCAGTCGAGCGATACATCCAGACGCTGAAGCGCGTCCTCCGAGCCCTGGCGATGCGACCGGGAGGCACATGGGTAGATGACCTCAACCTCGCCGAACCAGCGATCAACGCGGCACCGTCGCTCGCAACAGGCTACAGCCCCGACGCGCTACTCTACATCACGCCACCGCAGGCCGCCACCACAGCGCCTTCCTCGGCGTCCTCGGACGACCAGCGCAAAGAAGCCGAGGCCCGCGTCGAGGAGGCTGTCTACAACCTGCTCCGTCAACAGGTCGAAGTCAAGCGGCGTTTCGACGGCCGCCACCAACCGCTCCCAGATCTAGTTGCAGGCGACAAAGTCCTCATCCGTCTCCAAGACCGACCCGTTCCCTTCGCAAGCACAGAGCATCGCCTTGACCCATCGTTGCTCGGCCCTTTCCCGATCGCCGAAGTCCTGTCAGACCACCGCGTACGGCTCGACCTGCCCGCCAACCTACAGATCGACCCGCACTTCGACCGCTCTCACCTCCAGCTCTGCCCACGCAAGCCGGATCCTTTCGGCCGCCCTCTCGAAAGCACAGCCATCGAGGCGCCCAACGATGAAGACGAGCCCAGGTGGGAAGTCGACCAAATCGTCGGCGAACGTCTCTTCCGCGGCTATCAGCAATACCGAGTGCTGTGGAAAGACGACCCGACCCCGACATGGGAGTTCGAGGCCGACCTGATCGACGACGGGTGCGCCGGCGCCATCGCGGACTACAAGGCCTCGGCCGGCGACCTACCCGCTCGCCGTCGGACGCGACGAACGGCCACAGCG